CATCGCTGCTAATTCCTAACAAGATCATGCTATGATAAAAAGTTTAACTCCCACTGCAGACCGCTGTCTTGACCGGAAGACGGCCTTGCCTGTCTCCTGGAGCTACAACTTGAGGTTGAGCCAGGCTGACCTCACGTACTCACAGAGCTATACATGCACCCATGTACTGTAATGTGAATGTAGGGGTGTGCAGGTTTGTAATATCTGTAGGTCTCTCAAGCCTGTGCATCTGCGCTCACTCACCCATCAAATGTACGAGATGAGAGGACCCTCAAAGCTTAAGCTTTTCCACATAGAAGCGGGGATGACCACATGCAGAGAAGTCGGGATAATATGGAGGGTGTGTGGGGGGGGCGGGGTTGGAAACACCGGCTTAAACTTCATGAGTTTGGAGCTGGCGCACTTTATCAGAAAGTGCACAGCTCCTACCACCACGACCTTCGCCAGCAGTGCTATTTCCTGACCAAAACTTTGGACCGCAAGCCCGTGAATTACTGTGGCTGCAACGCTTCGCTCCGCTTCAAGGATTCAGGGCTTGGAGTTGTTGTTAAGATGCACCGTCTACGGCTTATGCCTCAGGCTTCGAGGGTGCAAGGTTTCTCTAACCAATGCTCACATGCAGAGGAAGAGTGGGATATCCGCAATTCAACAACAATCGCATCACCCATATACGATATATATATATATATGCATTCATATATATATATATAGAGAGAGAGAGAGAGAGAGAGAGAGAGAGAGAGAGAAAGAGAGAGAGAGAGAGAGAGGCAAAGAGAGAGGCAGAGAGAGAGGGTCGGGATAGAGCAACCCAACAGCGGGTGGGTACATTGCCCCGGCCCAAGTGACACACGTCACGGCCAGGAGTAGCCCAACTTGGCATAGGCGCCAACGCAAGCGCCGAAGCCAAGCCCGCTCGCGCATCCATAGTTGCCGTCGAGCTGGGAAGCCGCCACCTCTGTCGGCCCTCTTGAAGCTGGCTGCGATCTCGGCGTGCTCCTCTTTCTATTTCTGTTTCACCTTCGAGTTTAGTGTGTGAGGCGCCTCCTCCGGACCCTAGCCTACCCAGAAAAATCAAGAATATGTATACAGTACACAAATATACATTGTATATCTTTATGTACGTCTACGTATCATATCGGTCGATATACATATGTATGTATGTATATATATATATATATATATGCTACCCCCCCCGACGTACCTACCTATTTGGTGTGTTTGTCTCCAAGTGTTGAACACTCCGACGTATTACAAAGACTCGGTGGGCCAGATACAACAGCTATTGATGTGTAAGCAACCTTCCCTTGACATGGTGCAACTGTCACACATGGGCCACTGAAGTAGGCCCACTACGATCCATTCTAATAATATCATTACAGTCATTCACTTATTAATTGTATCACCATAGTCTTTGCAACACCATGCAGCTATTGTTATCAATTGGTGTTACTAAAAGAAGTTGCCATCCCATCTATATATGCTGGTGGTTGGGAGCACCCCGTATGCAGGTACGGGTATAGAGGGCCCACCTGACCTGTCAGCAGTGACAAAAAAAAGATTTAATGCGCAACCTCTAGCCAACTGAACTAGTGTTATTCCAACGGTTATAAACTAATCTCCATAGTCTTGTACTCTTCTAGGCATAACATTAGTAACCACTTAGATGTAATGGTGTAGACGGTGGCATAATACCACTGAAACACAACTACCATGAATAACCTAGATAACTTAACTTGTAATAACTACGAAACATAGCTAACCTAAACCATTCATACCACTAGCTGTTAACCTAGTGTTAGTAAGTCATTGTGATGCTGTTATTAATCATACTTCATCTGACTGTACATATGGTAGGCTTATCAGGATAGCAATGACTGTACCTAATGATAAGACACAAGGAAAGCCTGCAACAACATAACAGTCCTGTAAATCTATGTCGGCATTACTATTTAGCCAAGTACAATATCAGTTGGACCACCTATTAGAAACAGTTTATATGAAAGATCTAGTATGCCAGATAGCATGAGTTGTGAACTAGTATCAATAAATTTACATATGCATTAAGTATTCAGATATGTAGAACACCAATTAAAAGATCTTAACGAACTAGTTGGTAATGATATTCTCAGATATCAATTTACTAAGTTGTAAAAGTAGCTCTTGTATCACTATTCCATACTGTTTATAAATATATGATATGGCCAAACTAAATTTCCCTAATAGACAAATACAACTCATAGCTAAGACCATAAATAAGTTAACCAAGACGTGTAATATGCCAATTATTGTTAAACTATTGGATACCAACGGGTCCAAAGAACCAAACAAATGTTGGATCACCTCCAAAGTATGGTTCATACTCTGTATCTGTTAATAACATTAGCAAAGCTCCTGGCAATATTGGTAGAACTATTACTTAACAAATAGATGATGTAATCCCAACTGATCTGGTTATATGTTGATAAAGTTGCTGAACGTAAACCTAATAGGTTTAATATATGACAAGCAATGCAGAAGTTATAAAGATGTTAATGTTGATGATCGACCTGATGTAATGAAACTGTAGCAAGTAAGACGGATACCATAAGTTGCGGATCAGATTCATGAAGTACTAATAATACAAACCACTCTTCTTATGATTACAGGATATTTATGGATATCAACTATGTGTAACTGTTATCATCCTAGTGAGTACGTTTGTTGCTACTCATTCTGCACTCTATTTCATATCATTACATTCTAAAAACATCTGGGGGCTATGGGGCCCTGGGACTACAGGTGCCTACCTAACATAGCAGGTGTTTCAACGCATAAGACTTAGCCTGGTTACTGGGACTTTACAGACCATACCAACATCTAGACCATAAGATATACGTTTATTGATTGATAGAACTTGTATTAAGCTTACACTGTTTTAGATGTAAACAGCTTGTAAGACAAACAGGTAATAATGGATAGGAAAGGTTTATAATTGGATGATAATCTGTAGTATGCAAGCTCTTCCATCTTGAGACGTCGTCTGGCACTCAGGATATTGACGACTGATTAAAGCCTTGATCTTCAATCCTCACAACTAGAATGTGTGCCACGTTTATTGGTTTTTCCAATGTTTCCTAGTTTCAGAAGCCGAAAACATTGGAACAACCAATAAAAACCATGATTTTCAATCTATATCCAGGCGCGACACCACTTCCCGGGCGATAGTTTGAAAATCATGGTTTTTATGGTTTTAATTGGTTTTTCCAATGTTTTGAGCTCCTTGTATGCGTTTTTATTGGTTTTTCCAATGTTTTGGACTCCCTGTGTGCCATTTTTATTGGTTTGTCCAATGCTTTAAGCTCCTTGCCGGCCAACTTTATTGGTTTTTCCAATGTTTCGGACTCCTTGTGTGCCACTTTTATTGGTTTTTCCAATGTTTCCGAGTTTCAGAAGCCGAAAACATTGGAAAAACAAATAAAAACTATAAAAACCATGATTTTCAATTTATGTCCAGGCGCGACACCACTTCCCGGGCGATAGTTTGAAAATCATGGTTTTTATGGTTTTATTTGTTTTTCCAAAGTTTTGAGCTCCTTGTATGCGTTTTTATTAGTTTTTCCAATGTTTTGGACTCCCTGTGTGCCATTTTTATTGGTTTGTCCAATGCTTTAAGCTCCTTGTCGGCCAACTTTATTGGTTTTTCCAATGTTTCGGACTCCTTGTGTGCCACTTTTATTGGTTTTTACAATGTTTCTGAGTTTCAGAAGCCGAAAACATTGGAAACACCAATAAAAACCATAAAAACCATGATTTTCAATTTATGTCCAGGCGCGACACCACTTCCCGGGCGATAGTTTGAAAATCATGGTTTTTATGGTTTTATTGGTTTTTCCAATGTTTTGGACTCCCTATGTGCCCTTGTTATTGGTTTTTCTAGTGTTTTTGGTTCCCTGTATGACGCATTTATTGGTATTTCCAATCGCGACCGTGCGGTTTTGGGACGGCGTACAGGAGCACGATTGGGATTGTGTGTAGGAGCACCATCTTATCTTACTGCAGCCCGTGTCCCCTGGATGACATTAACCTGCATTGGCTTGCTGAGCTCCGCACCTGAACAGGAAAGCAGGAAAAGGGTAGGTACGTGGGGGGGGGGGGGGTACCATATATATATATATATATATATATATATATACACATACATATATAGACACCTGTATATATATATATATAGTAGGAGTAGGACGCCCCACCTCCCGACCCAAGCCCATGAACCAGATTCCCTCAGCTTCCTCAGTTTCTAGCCCAGCAATAAGCACAGTCCCCAAAGAACCCGTATGCCCTAAGCCCCAAAATCCGCCCGAAGGTACAATCACTGAGCCATGAACCTCCACCCTCACCCCTTACTGGAACCTGAGTTTAAGCTTGCTCAGCATTGGGCTGAAACGTAGCATCCGCCATCTTCTCGGCCTACAGAGAGAGCTCTTGGGGGCTGTAGGACAAAAAGCTTCGGACGCACGGCTTCAATTTCCAGGTATGTTTGGCGGCTTATTTGCAGCTCTTAGCTTCGCTGCGGTTCCGAAGCCGGTAAACCCCAAGCTCCCAAATCTTGGGCTTCATTGAAGCCTGCAATCTCAAAACCACAGAAATCACCCCCAGGCTCCGAAACCCATCCGACCTCACAGAACTAAATCCCTTACAGTGATTATCGAAACGGTGCCCCCTGCAAGTAACCCTTCAAGGAACCCCAAAACCTATCGGTCCCAGGCAAAAGGCTGGGATTTGGAGAAAGGTCCGTAGAAAGCAGAGGACATGCCATGATCCTGGTGGAACATACCTAGCCCTTCCCCTTCCCCTCCCTACCCGCTCCTCACAAAGGTCACCTGCAGCCGCGCAAATTTTCGATAGTGCAGTTGTCAATACTGGCGTTGGTTTGGCGTCCAAGTCTTCGATATTTCGACAAGGACTTTGACATTTTTCCTGCGTTCAGACTCTGGCGTCGTGCCATCGCATTGTCGCGAAGGTCAGGTGAAATGATCACAGCCCTTGTGCGAAGAATACGCTTGCTGCTGCTGTCTCAACTCTGCGGCAGTCGGTAGCCGATCAGGCTCGACTTGCTGAATGCATGCGTGCGGGTCATTCGTTGCAATGCCATGGAACACAGCCACATCGAGGCCAGAATCACACTGCACCACACCGTCTCTTTTCATTAGTTCAGACCTGAGCTCTGAAGATTTTACCTCCGACCGCCAGTTCGGCAAATCAAGGGCCTCTGCATGCTGAAAGCTTGCATTCTGCCCAAAACGGGCTGCGAGAGTACTGCTGTTCTTGCCGTCGGCCAAGACCATCTTGCATGGACGAACTACCCGCCACACCTTGGCATAACTCGCACTGGGATCGAACTTGCCTATGTCCTCTGGCTCACCTGGCCAACCCATTTTAACCATCTTCTCCACGGCACTCTCGACAGTCATGCAGTAGCCGAAGTATTCAAACTCCAGGATTGTCCACAAGTCACGCTGAGGATCCAACTGGTGTTGTTGGCAGGAATAAAGGTGGGTGCCTACACCTAAGGACACAATCGGAACTTGAAGAAGGGAGTGGACATCCTCTCGACGTACACCGGCTGCAGCCATCACTAGTGGGACGAGGAGCTTCGTCACCATGGCTGGCGAAGTGTAACAAGAGTCTGAAGTGAGCAGAGTACGCCTTGCTGAAGCCAACCGAGGCTGTAGCAACACTGGTGGGGCTTCAACAGTTGCCACTTGAATCTGGAAATGTAACACTGGGCAGTGCATCTGGATACCTGGAACAGGCAGTAGCAACATTGTCGGAACACACGTGTGCTGAAGATGTCCCTAGCAGGCCCTACAACTGTGTACTGCGCGACTGCTAGGGCAAACGAAAGAGTGGTGATACTGTGCAGTGTTCTACCAAGATCACGGCTCGAATACACGCATAGTAGACCACGCCAACTTCTAGCCCTGTGAGGCAACTTAATTAATGGCTGTGAAGCTGATGGGGTCTGCATATCATAGTTTGCACTCTCGCCGTTGTTATTCATGTCAAGCTTGTGACTACTGCTGCTGCGGCTACCGCTGCGCAGTCAAAGTGTATGTTCGTGTAACTGTACATTTTGTATGCATATATATGTACATGACATGCATATGTAGAGGCACAGGTATAGGTGCATGTACATGTATGTATGTAGGTACACACGTAGGTGTGTATGTATGTGCATACGTAGATGCATGTCTGTCTGTCTGTCTGTCTGTCTGTCTGGTTGGCTGTCTGTCTGGTCTGTCTGTCTGTCGGTCTGTCTGTCCGTCTGTCTCTGTCCAGATGTACGTATGTATGTATGTATGTATGTGTGTGTATATATATATATATGTAACTGACGGGTGTATGCCCACATGCTTTCCAGACGGGACACATGTGCTTACACGCAGGCCAAAACACTCACAACCCTGGTTGTCAAGCCAGCCCTACCTAATTCTTCACCGTCCACTGCCGGCTGGTGCCAGTATGCCAGGCCAGACACGCGACCGGGCTGGGTGGCCTCAGGAGAATTGCCAGCAAAGGGTCGTGTACTGTTGTAAGGAATCACAGGGCGTGCGTTAGTATGTTCTCATTTTGAAATCTTTTGCAAGGCACCCACAGCGTTTGATGATGCCGTCGACCGGGTTCGATGTTCGCAGACGGCTCTTGAACGTTCGTCAAAGGAGAGTTTAGCGTTTATGAGTTTACGGGTTGAGGGACTTCAAGGTACTGGATCCCAGGGGCACTGGAGGTCGACTAAAACAGAGCCTTTTCTTTGGCATCCTAGCTCGAGGAGTTCGGGCCCTGTGGGTTTAAGTATTAGGGTTTAGGCTTTGGGAGTTGCCAATTTGGGTTGAGTTCTTGGAATCTAACGGGTCTAGAGTTGAAGGTTTCGGGTCGGGGTTCGACGTTTTAGCAAGCGGAGGACCTAGCAAGACTCGCCTTGAAGGAAGGCAGGACCCCATTGAAGCGAGAGTAACGAGAAACAGACCTGCGGGTATATCGTATTGCACCTTTAAAGGAATGTAGGACAACTAACGAAGGAACATGATTGCCTGGGCAGATCAAAGTTTCAAGCGCTGTGCGCAGAACTGCAAACACCATCGAGAAACTCTTGTCTATCGGTCGAGCTACCCGGTGTGGGAGTCTGAGGGTCGAGCACAGATGCAGCAGTGCAATGAAATCTTGGTTTGACTCAAAACCTGACAGCCTAAAATCCAAGCTGCGCTGTGGCTGAGTGGCTTCAGCAGACTCGCTACATCCCTGAAACCCAAACCTGCGCTACACCAGTCCCGGGCTGTTACGACGCCCCTTGCGGTGGGCAGCTGCCCATCCATCGACCTATCAAGGCTTAGGGTTCAGGCGGTTCAAGGCTGACGGCTCGGGGCTTCATCCAGGCTTCCCTGGAAGCGATGGGAAAGCTCTGCGAATTCAGAGTCTCAGGAACTTACGGGCCCGCTGCAGGAAAGAGGTTTGGGGGTTTAGGGTGTAAGGGTACCTTCTTGCACTGTTACACGGACAAACAATTCCGTCAAACCACTGCCACATTATCTCGTTGAAACCTCGGATCTACAAGCCTCACCTTTCCACCTCCAAGAAGCATCTGCGAACGGAAAAGGTTGAGCGCAAGTCAAGCGTCTTCGCAGCTTACGGGTTTCGGGTCTAGGCTAAGGGCCGCCATTTAAGGTCTTGAGCCCGCAAAGATCGAACAATGCGTAAATATGACACGCCCCCAGCATAAACCCTAAATCCTAAATCCGAACCACCCCCACCCTTTCATGAGCAATCTGGCCTGGTCAAGTCAATCGTCAAGGCAGCCTACGGGTTTACAGTTTTTGGGCTTTGGGGTCTGGGGGTTCGGGTTGTTGGGTTTGGGGTTCATGGTTCAGGGACTCCTGGGGTTTGGGAGGTGCAGAGGGCTTGAATCGAACTTCGAGGGGGCCGGATTCGTTGAAAAATGAGGAGCGCCAGAGCAGACCTGCTTCTTCGGATACCAATCGGCTAGAAATCTGGCAGTGGCATGCGAGTCAACAGCGGCAAAAACAATCGGGAAGGTCGCGGTTGCTCCAACCGGGACAGTGGAATTGTCAGACCCCGCCGTGAAGCCAGAGAGGCGGGTTTGGCGGTGAGATGCACTTGGTGATGCCCTCCAGCTTAAGGCTTTCACACTTCCGAGATAGCTTAGGAAACCTTAGCCGGTAATCAAAATATTAGACCACCAGACCTACCCTGACTGTGCTAGACTATCATCAACTTCCATTCAAGCCTGCGACCCCACACTGGAGTGTAGGTGTGGCATATCGGACTTTACAGCTTAACATCCCCAACTCTATTGATCCCGCCTCCACGTCCGACAGGAGCTGGAGGTCAGCCAATGCGGCCTCGCGAAGGTCTCGTCAGACACCCAGAGCCCATGAAGCTTCACAGCTCTAGTGGAGGTTTCGGAACAGCCTTCGGATCCTAAATGAAACCCACATCGGCATTTCGAAAACGCTCCAGGCTCTGAGCCTCAGTCCTACGACATTCCACATGCAACCCCAACCGCCCAACCGTGGCTGGCAAATGAACCACCCGGACCCCAACAGCCTAAACCGGAAACCCCCAACCCTGAACCCTGAACAATAAAATGCCCGAATTGAAATGGTGCGCCTCGGTTGGGCCATCCCCCAGAGGAGAAAGGGTCTCGTCAACGAACTCCAAGCCGGCGACGGCGGCGACCTTTGGCGTTTTTTTCCGTTTCAAAAGAGTAAGGAGAAGGGCTCAGGGTTCAAGGTCGAGGGAAAATGAGCAAATGGTTTTCAGCATTTTCAGGTTTTGGGGCTCGGGGATTTAGGCTTGAGAACTGTTTGGGCAGAGGGAACACGGATTGGGAAGCAAGGTAGTTTCAGAGTGCAGCGGTCTAGGTTTTCGGATTCAGGATTGTCTGGGGCACAGGACTTTGGCTCTTGGCTTTCCTGAGGTCCCGGTTTCCAGATATCGTTTGGGCTTTAGGGTTGCCAGGTGCACCCCGGTTTTGCAGAATTTCCCTGGACTTTGCCTGCAGGGTTTGGGTCTGAAATGGCTTGGCGTGGCTCCGCACGTTGATCCGTTGAGTGGGTCGTATATAGTAAACCCCAAACATTAGAGAACGCCTATGAGGGCAAGGTGTTTTCGGTGTGTGTGTCTCAGACCTTCTTGCTGCGAGCCAGTGTGTTGTTGGTGAAATTGTGTGATAGAACCATGCAACGTATGAAGGAATATCATTGCTGTTTGTTCCGACCTCTGTGTTAAAGTCGGAACGGCCCGTGCAATGGAAGAGAGCTGTGGATGACAAGAAGTGTTGGGTTTAGGATTGAAGGCACGGAAGCGGAATCTCCAAACCGACACTGCGCAAAATGGATCCGGCGTCTCCGCACGACTCGAACCCCTTGGTCGCGAGTTTTTTTGCTCAGCTTTCTTAAGCCTGAGTTCGCGGCTTTGATGGACAAGGTGTCCGGGATAAGCCTGGCTCCCCAACCCTGTTCAAGGATTCCTCAACAAAGGCATCGAACCATTATGGTATCAGATCCCTTTGGTCCTTTACATACTCCTTTACATGGTCCTGCTTTGTTGGCAAATGGATTTGCAGTTCTACGGGGCTTGGAACTGTATACCATACTTGCTCTGGCATCGATGAGATTCAAGTCGACCACAATGCCGGTTGAATGATGCAAACACAATTCGATGATCCAAGCACCCGAAAACAAAGCAACCTACGAGATCTAAGCCTCAAATACGAAATTGAAGCTCTATATACCCCGTACTGAAAGATTTCGTAGCTACACACGTGTTTGCTCTGGAGTTTGCGCCTGCCGCCCGCAGAAAGCAGCTCCTGACAAGGGCTCAGAGAGATGGAGCGAGTTATAGTTGGGTGACTGGAAGGATTCTTCTGCCGAAAGGCTTATGTACCTGCATTCAACGATGTTTGCCCCTTTCCGGTTGAAACGCAGCCGAGCCTCGAAGATGTGTCTGGCGGCACATTTTAGTTTGGCATTCAGGAGGTTTCGGGTTTAAAGATTTCAAGCTTCGATCCGAGCTTAAAGATTTGGGGCCCGCGATACTTCGGAGTGTGGGGTTCCTTGATCACCTCCAATGTCGTAAAAAGCCACCGAAACTGGACCTGACTATTTTGCAGAATCTAGCAACACAGCCACCAACTGGAGGGGGGGGGTATTACCAATGTTCAAGTGAAAACGCCAGACACCCCATCTGAGCTAACCTGAGCTCCTTTACTCCACTAAACCCTCAATCCCTTGCACCCCTAAGCCCCGAAACCCTCGAACCCCAAAGACCTAAAACCCGAGAGGCAGGCCTTGGCGTGGCACATGACCTCCAAGTAGTCGAGTGCAAGCGGCCTGGCGGTTCCAGCTATGGGCGGTTGAGGGTCCCCTGCACTTTCCGGGCCTGCCGAGGCTTTCGTTTAGGGACCGAAACTCCTTGACATTGTAGCTGAAGTCGTTGACTTCCTCAGTCCTCTCAACCCTGCCGCTGCGTTCACACAATCCGAACACATGGCCCCTCAGACCACCCCGAACTTCACCGCGGCCCGGAACTCTGAAGGCCATTGAAATTAATCAAGGCTTCGGCTAAACCATAGCCATTGATGACGAGCTTGGGGTTATATGATTATATGCTAGGGGTCAATTTCCGTAGCACGAATATCATTCATAGGGTGATATATCATTAATTACTCGGTAAGGAAAGCCCAAAGTTGGGCATCGGTACCAAGTAGAAGCCCTGAAACCCAAGTCCAAAGCACTGAAAACCTTAATCCCAAAATCCTAAACCCACAAGTTTCAGGCGCTTATCCTTAAGATGCCCGAGACAAGACCTGTCAGTACTGCCCCGAGGGATCCGGGCGACAGAGGAGCAAATCCGCGCCGGCGCAGTCGAGAAACTTAGGATCTCGGCTGCTCACCTTAAAACAAGGAGGGTTCAGGGTGTGAAGTTGTTTTCTTTTTTTGCCGGGCTCTGCAAGGTTTCGTAGGGCTCTACGAGGCTCTGTGAGAGCTTTAGGGTGTGGGGCAGTCGGTTTCGTAGTGCTCTATGCAAAGGTCTAAGGCTTCGCTTTAGGGCCCTATGTTGGGGCTTTGAGGGTAGGGTCGTCTGTTTCGGGGCTCATAGGGTTTGGGCGCTTCCAGTCTTATAACTTATAGGCTCTCAAGGAGGGGAGAGGGTTGTATGGCACTTGACCTTCCCAGCTCGGTAGGGCTGCGGATGGAAGGACGTTTGCGTATATCTGTACTGCCGACCAGCCCCACAATGGGTGCCGAAACGTGCAAGTTTATCACGAGTGTGATGCGAACAAACACCGGATGGTTGGAATGAAGGAATGTGGGAACGAATGAACGAACGGAGAACTAAACTAAACACAACACTATAGTAGTAATCATCAGAAGTCAGCAGAAAAAGCCAGCCAGGGAAACATGCACACATGCGTGTGCATATTTGCAGTACACATGCCTGTATATGTATATGTATACGTATTGAAATAGGGTTTCCCGCACACCAATGCCAGGGGCTATACGGGTATAACTTTACAAGATGAGTCCGACCCCTACGTGAAGATGCAAAACCGGCCCCAGGCCTCGAGGGAGGTGCTTGGGCAGGCTTTGAGCACCCGCACAGCTGCATCGTCGGGCCTTGGTTGGGGATCTATAGTGCAACCTAAACATAAACCGTTAGACTTCAAGGTTTGCAATTCCTGGGTTACCAAGCCTTAAACTCCATGACCTGAACCCGAGGCTTCAAAGGAAACATTCCTGGAAGAGCGGGGGGAATGGAAGGGTTTCAGGAGCTTATGCTTTTTCTGTGGCCTTTTGGCCCTCAATCATCCGGCGTCTTCCAAAACCAAGCCCACGAAAAGGGAATGAGAATCGGCGGTTTTGGGGCTTCGAAGTATAGGTTCTTGGGTTGCTGCGCGTTCCTAAATCCCAAAGACAAATCATGCGATGTTGGGGATAAGAGCTCCAGAGTTGATCCGTTCACGGGCTTCCGCCTTGGAGCCTGCGCTACTCGGAGTTCACTGCAACCTCTCTGCATGTTGAGGAATTCAGGCCTGGAAATATGAAGCAGGGCTCCGGCAGATTTCGGGGACCGCCTGATACCTCAGAACCTTAACCCACTTCTCCGAATCTAAAAGACCTCCCGGGGCGCTTGAAAGTTCAATGGCGCAATCTCTACACCTTTCCCAGACCAACAAAAAAAGGGTCGTATCTTAAGCCTCACATAACCGTAAGATGCTTTTTCTTGCAGGGTTCAATCTTGAGCTCCTTTGAGGGGTCTGGGTTCCTGTTCCACCGAGGCAGCAAAGTCGCGTCCTGGGCGTACCAAAGAAGCCTTGAGCACATCACAGAGAATTTGCGGCTACCGTTCACGGTGGAGGCGGTTCAGGCTGTAAGATTCAGGGGCGAGGGCTTTTGATGGTTTGCCTTGTAAGATGAGCACTTACAGGTCTATCTAGTGTTACAGTGTGAGTAATGCTCGGAGTCTTTCAAACGCGGGAGGGGGGGTTATCTCCACTCTCTCTCAGGGTGTTTTCCCTCTCCCTCTGGCTCTGGCTCTGGCTCGCTCTCTCTCTCTCTCTCTCTTTCTCTCTCTCTCTCTCTCTCTCTCTCTCTCTCTCTCTCTCTCTCTCTCTCTCTCTCTCTCTCTCTCTCTCTCTCTCTCTCTCTTCTCTCTGTCTCTCTCGCTCACGGTCTGTGTCTCTGTCTCTCTCTCTCCCTCCCCGCCGCTTCTACTAGGCATCTTCAATTTTGAGATTGCTGTGGCCACCCCAACACGACACCCAACAACAGCAGTCGTTCTTGCGTAGACTTAAAGACATGGTCTGAAGAAGAAGAAGGCAAACAATTTCCTGCAGTCTCAAGATTCGACGGATCGTGATTCTGGCTGTCTAGGTTTCGATGTGTTGTTGCAGTTCGCAAAGTGGCTGGGCAGAAGACTGCCTTCGGAGTAGTTGCTGCTGGTAGAGGCCGCATGCCATAACAAGTGCATGTCGGAATATCAAAACACCTGTAATCCTTGCCGGATGCCTCGCTCGTGCACAAGCCACTCGTTTATTGCACTTACTTTTTTGGCTGTGGATCGTCACGTGATGTCACGTGCACAGCCTAGAGGGAAGCTCACTGATACAGGATTTAAGCTTCAACAGCTCATTGGCTTCTGCGGCTGTCGACTAGACAAACGCAACTATCGCACAGGCAAGCCGTCTGTAAGACTTTGCTTTGGCGCAGGTCTTCTGAATCAACCTTCCGGTCTCCTTCCGGTCTCACTCGAGATTGCGTCGAATTACTTGTTTCGCAGGCTACTGATACCATTCTGCTTCGTGTATATCAAGGTCATCCATAATGATCTGCGAAGTTCAGGGTTCGTTTTGAAGAGTGAACACAGACTGCGCCAAGCTTATGTGCACGAGTCCAACATATCTGTGAGACATCCTTGTGTGATCCGGACGAAGGCGAACTATGGAGTGGATTCGCTTCCGTGAACTGGGCCAGTCTTTATGCAAAAGGAGATCCCCGCCATAATCTGTCCAGCCGCTTGCAAGACCTTTCTCAAAGCACCGGTTGAGAAACTGGACCAACAAAACGAAAGCCGTCATGCATCGCGCGCGGTTTTCACTTTAACCTGTCTAGCAGCCGATAGCTGGCGAAGACGTACTTCCTGTAGACCAACCCTGGTTTACGAAGTTTTGAATGCATCCGGCTGGCTGGCGGCCGACTCCAAGTATCGGATTTGCCATGCCATACGCACCTTCTACGCCCTTGAATCCGGCTATCGATTCTTGTATAGTCGTCCGGAGCCAAGAAACAAAGAATCACGACACATCACACGCAGTTTTGTGAATCGCAAGATTGGCATCCGGGGAAGCTGACAGATGTGGCTCGGTCCATTTGTATGCTCGGGGTTTGCTTCTTTGCCTCCCCCTAAATCGCAGTCGCGTGGCTGTAGTTGGCTAGACCTCTGCGGTCGAAAACCATCTCCAGTCCTTGCTCGCGGACCTCGGGGCACTTGCAAAACTCCAGCAGGCTCGGGTTTCGTTTTGGACTTTAAGATGTTGTTTAAGCTTGATAAGCTTTACGCACATACCGCTCCAGGATTGTGGTGGAATCTTCAGGGAGGCCTCCCGGCCGGCTCCACCGGGACTTCCGGCATGTGCAATGAGTCCAATCTGTGGTCTGGGAATGAGAAGGAACAGAAGAACACACTGTAAAGCCTGAGTTGTTTTGTGTAAACACTTTGCAAATCTCAACCTTCTAGGCAGTTCAAGGCAGCAGAAAACCCTCCCAAATATCGGTCCAGCTGCAGTGGCAGGTTTGCTAACAAGCAAACAGCTGAAGAAGCGTTTCATCATGGATCAAGCTTCAGAGTCGTTCATGCTGCGTCGAAGCTGTCATGGAGAAACTGGTGGCTTTGGTTGGTAGCTTTGGGATGCCATTGTACCAGCTTCTATGGGTTGGAAAATGTGAGACATCGGCAAGTATTCTTGCATGGCCAGCGACTGATGACGAATGTTGCGCTGGGCAACGGAACAACGATGTAGTGTGGTGACATGGGTTTGAACCTGAAGACCAAGTTTAGTGCTTCACATTACGCATTCGCCTCATGAACCGAAACTCTGCAATGTGGCCTCACTGATGAGAAGATCAACGACCAAAACCCACTCTCTCACAGCGACCTGAGCTGCTCTGCACATGCGTGTTTGATGTATACATACATGACCTCCTCGCAAATCATTCCACGACTCTAAGCAGCCTGAACCATAGATGCATTAAATTGTTGATACAAACTTTCTCCGGCACTGTTTCTTGTGACGTTGCCTCGCGCCTGCTGTGAGAGCTAAGTGAGGCGACAGGCTTGGCCTTTTGTACCTCGATGCCGGTCTGGGCCCGGGGTTCGGACATCTCCTGCCGTAGGCATTACTAGAATTCGCACGCCTGGCGTTAGGAGTCTCACGGTGGGTCTCATACCCTCCTTGTAGTAAACGCTGCGGCAGAACCTGCCAAAAACTCGCCCCATGTCGTTTAGGCTTTGCAGAAGCCTAGTGCTGAAGCTCAGCTTTGCTGATTTCGGCTCGAAGCCCGCCCATGTCATGGCGCATGACGGTCATCGGCGCATACCACAGCCAGCCCCGTTTCTCCTCAGCCAGATGTGCCTGCCTGAAAGCCGGACTGTTGCAAATCACGCATTCCAGAGCTGATGCCCAGCTCCGGGTGCCCCCACACTTTCGCACGTAGGCCATCTTTTTACACGGCTTCCCGTGAACGAGTGCACCTCCACAGCGATGCTCCAGAATCTGGCCAAACGACGCGAGCTGGAGCTGCTTGTAGCGACGAAGGTCCAGCAGCGAGGCGTGACCGGGCAAGGAGAAGGGATGTTCGCAGGTCGTGTCCACAAGTCCTACAGAGCCCACAAACTTCCCCTTCCTTGACTTCAAGATCGGCCTGGTGGTTGGGTGAAACTTCACCTTCCGCTCGGACATGCCTGGGAAGGCCGGCATGACAAGAATCAAGTCTTCGTTATCTTGGAGTGCCTGAATGCCTTCACTGATCCAGGAGTACCCCTTCTGCGTGGAGACGATCATGTCTGACTCCAGGATAGCCACGTAGTCTGCATTACATTGGTCGATAGCAAAGTAATGGTCCAATTCCTTCACAGCCAAACCATCGTCCAGGGATCCACGCCCCACCCTCTCGCCCTCAAGCCGCAATGAGCTGTCCCAAGCAGCAGTGAAGTTGACAGATTGCTCATAAGCGTCTGAATGGTTCACTGCAAACCATTCCTCGAGATATTTCTCGTGCACCAGGGATTCTGCCGCGATGAAAAGAGCGGCGTCATCCACCACCAAGTAGCGCAGGCTGAAGATGGTCGACGAGTGCTGCATACTCAAGTGCTTGACTCTGGCGAGCAGCTCGGTAGCTGCACGAGTCTTTGCAATGAGAGCCAAACAAACCGTCGGAAACTTTTTCCCGAGGGATTCTCGCTCTTCTCGACCTGGTGCAGCGTCGCGCTGGTCAACATAAGTCTTATTTAGTGTTTCCTGCTGGTCCCCTTCGTGCAAAGAATCGTCACCAAGGCGCCCAGCTGCATGCGATGGGGACAAGGGCGGACCGTTATTCTTTCCGGTTTGCAACGCGACGAATGAATCCTCCCATCCTTCCGCGACTGGAAAACGGTCTTGACTCTGACCCCTCAACATCCCATGGATTCTGACGCAGGGGTAGGCTAGGCTCAGACAGAAGGCCGATGTCCACAGGCGGGTACCCCGGCAAAGCCGCAGCATCTGTGCCGGCTCTACATCGCTAACATGGCAAGTGCATCAAAGCCGTCATGCGAGAGATCCAACCAAATTGATGACTACACTACTACTCCGCGGATATCAAACGCTTCCAGCAGGAACTTCACTCTGACATGTCAGAAACCGACACTGTTGCAGTGCAATTTTGTTGGCTCAGTCCAGGCACTTTCGACGAACCAGGAAACTGCGACAGTAGCTTGCGACATGCCCAGTACCGCGACTGTTCTTCAGACAACTCCAACATACATGAAGGAAAAATCAACACATGATCCCAATTTCGGAGTGGCTGTCGTTGGCATGGACAGCTGATACAGCTGTAGATGGGTTGTCCATGCCCGGCCGGCATTGTACACAAGATTTGCTGAAACCAGGGCCGAATGCGCTCAACAGGCCTTGGAAAATGCATTTGGGTTTGCAGAAAGCTCCGGGAGCTCAACTAGAACAGTTTATGGGTTGTTGCTGAATCAGGACACATTCAAGAACATTTTGTGGGAATGGCTTTGAACAACAGTTTTGCCGAAACTGCGGCCGAGTGTGTGTAGCGGGCCTTGAAAATGCATCTGGGCTTGATCGGAGCTCCGGAAACTGAATTTGAGCAGTTTATGGGTAAATGTATTTTCGGGTGTAGGACACCCGGTGAACATCAGATTTGTTGAAACTAGGGCCAACCGCGTTTAGCAGGCCTTGGAAAATCCATTTGGGTTTGGTCGGGGCTTCGGGAGCTCAATTTGCCTCGGAAGTGGGGCCGTTCTGGAACCTGCCCCGAAAATCGGTTCCGAACCCGCCCGGGAACTGGCCCAACCCCCCGGAACCTAACCACGGACCTTACGAAACTGAAGACAATATCATAAAACATAAAGCCAAAGTATGCTAATGAATTAACAACACAAAATGCACTTGTGGGACGGGTTTCCGAGCAAGGCTGCTGCAATCGGTGTACCACGAAGCCTCTCAGCCAAGTTCTCACTAAAAAATCCACAGGCGATAAACTCATTAAACCCTAAAGCTGAAACACAGTCATACTGACATAGACTTCAGTTATAAACGGCTCTGCCAGGGGTGGTTCAGGGTTTTGGACATTTGCGGACCGTTGAAACCTACGCTCTGACGTCTGACACAAATGCCCGTGAACCCTGCTCTCAATGCGAAACCCTAACCCCTGCAGCACCTTTTAATCCCGAGCTCTGACTGCCAACTGAGGCTCCGGCTGCCTCCAGCGCCAGGTCACGAAGGTGGGGAAGGGCCTCTTGAGCCTGAGTCCAAAAGGTGAAGAGGGAGTCCTGTTGTATTAGGATTAGGGCTTAGGGCCCCTTTGACTTGGCGTTTGGGGGGACCGCTGTCGAGTTTATGCGAGGGTCCCCTTTCTATGTTTTTAAGCTCAGCTTTCGCATAGGGAGCTGTCTTTTCAGAACCCTCAAGCTTGAGGTCAGCTTGCTTTTTCAAGGTGGTTGAATTTGGCTTAAGGATTCAAGGTTTAGGGCTTTAGGGTTTGACAGGGTATATCTTGTAGGGTTTTAGAAGTTTCGGATGGGCCGCTATTTTGGGCACGCTTAGATAGAATGCGGCTTCGGAGAGCGCATCACATTTGTCACTGTGGAAACCCACTCCGAATGAATCTTAGAAGTAGTGTTTCAGGATCTCGGGATAAGCTTGTGGGCGAGATTCATCTTCGCATGCTTCGTCGGAATCCACGCCACCCCACACCCGAAAGGCGCTTAGATCCAGAAGGCTGCATCACTGGACGTAATCCGCGAACCCCAAAAGGGCCTAAACCGTGGGAGCTTAAACGAGCAACCCCCGAAGAGCCCCATGACCACGCAACTTCAACTTCTGGGGCTCGGGCCCAAGCGCGTGCCCCAAGCTGTGATGCAGCGATGCTGAGCAGTGGCACAGGGCCACCTTAGATGCATCCAAGAGCCAATATGCAGCCTTGGGGTTAGAAATTTAAGCCGGATTTAGGATTTAGTCCTTCGTCGCTGATCTTCCGGTCTTCGGACTGCTGATGTCAGGAACGACAGCTTCTTGGGCACAAGCATCTGCAGCTCCTTCTCCGGTGTCGGGTCTCGGTCTCATGAACGAGAATCAAGGTCTGTATCACAACCGCCACCACCACTGTCCGCATCCCCTTCCTCTTCCTCCTCCTCCACCTCCTTCATCATAGCTATCATGCTTTCATTGCTGCTTATTGTGCTGCCGGTTTAGTTGTTTTTGTGATGGTCCTGACGATGACGTTTATGATGATGATGATGATGATGATGATGATTTTTCTCTCGCCGCAGAGGGGGTCTGCGATTTGTGCATGATGATGATGATGGTGGTGGTGATCGTGATGATGATGACGGCCGTGATGATGCAGCCCCTCGGTCCAACCATCCCTAGACTTGGTATTGGTTCAGGAATCGCATTGGGGTTCGATTAGTGACTTTACCTCGGAAGCAATCCCGGGCAGACTTGTTCTGGTCCAGGCTGCATACAGGCACAATGGCATGCCGTGTGCCATTATTGGCATATATCAGAACGTGTGGAGGAGCCATCTCTCCACGGCAGTGAACCGTTCACAGCGGCAACAGACCTGGCAGCAGCAAGACCACGACCACCTCTTGAAGGAAGATTTCCTGATCTTCTGTTGCAGATCACGCAAGCTGCCTACAGAGGCCTCTGCCAGCCGGTCCGCGACACGTTGTCGCAGAACCTGGGCCGCTGGACTGTTGCTTCGCACTGCCTGCTGTAATGATGGCTTGCGACCTCATCTTCGGCGACAGGTAGAATGGCACAACTGCGAGCTGTGCGTGCGCAGGGTAGTGTCCCGATTGCCTATGCGAACATACGGGGAACCCAGGAATTGTTCTAGCCCACTTGGCTCTGCCGCCTGGCGCCCAATGTCGGGTGGCAATGAAGTCGATCTGGGTGACACTTGTGGGTCCATGATACGTGGCACGGTTTGGGTCATGCCAAGAGTTCAAGATGGTAAGAGCACTCTGGATCATATGTGGAACTGCTGATGGCCGGGCCTACTTCAGGGGGCTGAGACCTAAGGCTAGAGTTGAAATCTCCGCATAGAAGGATGTCACACCTCTGGGGGAGGTGTGTGAGGATTCTCCCCCCCGAAGCCAGCCCGAGATCAAAGGGTCAGTGCGGACCCTACCCTTCAGATCACAGCCAAGCATACCTGGCATCTCTACCGGCTCGCCAAACGAGCCAGCATTCGCACCCTTCAAACATCTGGACGCAATGGCACTGGACAGCCCAATGTGCCAAAGCCTCGGCCAAGCTTCGGCAGCATAGTAAGCTCATTCGTCGAACCCTTTATGCAGCGGTCAAGCGGCTTACGCCGAAAGCCCAGCTTCGTCACTCCCGTCTCAAGGACTCGCACGTTAGACTGCTTTCACGCCAGGAACAGCTGCAAGCCATCCAAGACCATGGCCTTCGAACGTTCGCGTCTCAGCAGGGTGAAGCGCACCCTCTAGCCTTTCCCGACACCTTACAGATCACGGACGATGATGTGTGCGGTGAAATCAATACTGGGGATCGGTAAAACAGTACCACAGCATGTGGCACCAGCTGCAGTTTGGAGGGTCTGCGCGGACCTTAGCCCATTCATTGGCACTGCCCTTAGGAGCCATCTTCAGACGGGTAGTTCTTGCCAACTTGAAGGCGACTGGAAAGACACCCACATGGTGTGGTTGGCAAAGCCTGAAAAGCCAGCGGTATCAGTAAGCTATATGCGGCCCATAGGCAATGCCCAACCAGCAAAATCATAGCAGGTCTCATGCGAGGTCAGCTCCTGGCACACTTGATGCCACTCCTCAGCACCCCGCCACAGTATGCATACACCAAGGCGGCTAGTGGAACGGCAGACGCCTTAATTCGGGCACACTCTCACTTTTCTGATGTGCAGGCCCTGCTCCAGCTTCAAGCTGGCAAGTCACGGCTGAAATGCGCTGGGGGCCTGGGGCTCTCCCTGGACCTCTCCCGGGCGTTCCATGCTCATGCTCCAATTGCGTGACAGCCGGAGTCAGCCGTGGCTAGAACGCCTCATTTCAGTCTTTGCGGATGACTGCGTGGGGGGCTTGCACCATTCCTGACCAGGCTGAATTTGCCCAAGCCATCCAAGACCTATACAACTGATCTTAGAAGTGCTGGAGGATCTCAGGATGACCATCAACTATGAGAAAACGGCGGTTCTCTAGAAATTGGTGGGTAAGGACGCCAATCGGATACGGCATAAAGCCACTTACAAAAAAGGCGGGGATCACCTATCTTCGGGTAACCGTGCACGGAAGGGAGTGTGGAATCCCGATCAAAAAGGATCGCGAGTACTTAAAGGCTCCACAGTCTCTTATCATCGTCGGATTGAAAAGAACACAGCCCACCGCATCAAAGCATGCCAATCCCGGCACCAGGGACTACGCAAGACCTTGAATGGGTCCCACCACTTGGGGACACAGGATTAGACTTTGGCAGTCGGCCCTGGAGCGGGAATCGCAGCACATCAGCCAGGCACCAGTCACCGTAGGCTTAACAAGCTGGGTTGTGCTGGGACGAAGCCTTCATCAGTGAGAATTAGAATGCTATGAGACTAATTACCTTGCACACTGCAGCACCTGCACCTCCCGACGCACTCTACGCGGACCCCACGCAATTCCAACGGCATCTCCGGAATGCCGCGCTTGTGACTTGTGAGCATATCGAGAGTGGTGCATGTTCTAAGCTAGGGCGGGACAGTCTTGTCCGGGCTCCTCGCGACTCGACTCAGGAACAGGACGAAGTCAGGACCCCACCGACAGCCAAAATTGAAATCTTCCCGGGACAAAACTGTTGAGCTTTTTTTTTCGCTTGTGATGAAGGATGCTTTTATCCGCAGGCTTCCCACTCGGGAACATTGGCTTCTGTGCCGTCCTTGCTGCAAAAGCTGAAGCATCATTGTCCTCTCTGCCATCAGTGGATTGCTGATTTTCACCATGTCCGTCAGCACATTCAGCGTA